GTTAACAATCTTACAACACATCAACAATATCCTTACTCAACCTTGGGTTCCCTATCACCAGCTTCCTTGTCCCCTTCTGCCTTCTGGCCCTTGTCACTGGTCTACTGTACCTCATTAGTCCTAATTGTTATTTTTTAATCAAAGAAATGCATGCACTTATTTTGCAATACCCCAATTTTATGATGAAAATCAGCACTCTCCTGCCCAACAGCTCCCTACTCTCAGGTATCATTCCCCAGAGGTCTCCTTCAATTCTTCACTGCTGTTTTCTCTTGTCCCTTTCTGGAAATCTGGTTAGTTGGATACGGATCTTCCTACATGACCCCCTAATTTTATTACTGTTCTGTTTTCCTTTTCTGTCTCTCTCTGGGTTTTGTTTGGTCTTTTTGTTTTGCTTTCTTAGAGTTTTCTGAACTTTCACCTCCTTTATTGCATTTTTATTTCTGCTACATGTTTTGAACATTCAAGAGGTTATTTTCTCTGAATGCTGCTATTATAGCAGACCCTTTTTAATTTCATAGATACATGATTGGTCTTTTTGAGGCTATTATATAATTTTTTTGAAGCTTTCTTTGCTCCTTGCATTAATTCCATTTCCTCTGAGTTCTTTTTTCTGTTTGTTTTTTTGTCTTTGTCTTTCTTGATATGGCGGTGTTTCTCAAACCTGGCTGCACATTAAAATCACCAGGATATATTAAAAAGTGTAATAACTGATGCCTAAGCCCATGTGAGATGGGTTGAGTCACAAGTTAGAGCAAATCTTTGGGTTATTGGCTGATCGTTTGTGTTAAAGTGAACCATTAAATTGTTGATTGGAGTTCTTTAGGGCTTACAAACTTGTGTGTTCTACAGTGGGCAATCAAGAGAACTGCCTGATTTAGGTTGGGGTGGGGGAGGGCATTTGTCAGTATTTGTAGGTCTTTTCGTTTGTACTGGTCAGTTTCCCCAAAGAGGAATCTTTCTATCCACTGTAGGGGTGGCGGGTGGCAGTGGGTAGAACTGGGTGGCAATAAACTTGGCACTAGTGTTCAGGGAGCTGAAAAGATCTTATCTTCCGGGGTGCAGACTTATTTAATTCCCTATTTTTTCATTTTTTCAGGGTGGGGAAAAGAGTAGTGGCCTGTTAAGAACATTGTGAGTTGCCTTGCATCTGTTTGTTCTCCAATTCCCAAGATATTGTTGACATAGCTCATTTGGTGGCCTTTCCTCTTGTTCTCTTTATCTTCATGGGCTTTTCTCTCTTTTGTGCCTTTGTAAATGTTTTTCACATTAGTATTTGAATATCGGTTCTTTAGAAGGCTAAAATTAATGCTTCGTGGGAAAAGATAGCAGGTTTTTCTAAGATAGTATATTGTTATATACATAGGGTTGCGTGAGTCGGAGCCAGCTCAACATCACCTAACGACAGTAACAAAAATGGTGGTCATTTTTGTGTTCTTCCAACAATAATATGGGTAGAACACAAATAAAAATCCACAGGTTTTTTGTTTTCTTTTGATTGGTAAGATGGTCAAGAATTTGATTAAATGATTCTTAGTTTAGTCATGTAACAGTATGTGTCAAAAGCCTTAAAAATGTTTCTTGTGCCTCAGTAATTGCACATTTAGGAATGTAATCTAAGAAAATATTAGGAAATGTGCTCCAGGTAGTTTGTATTAGGATATCATAAATGTAGAAGCTTCTTCATACAAAGCATTTTATAATTATAAAGCATTTGGAAGCAGCCTAATGTTAACATTACAGCACATATACCATACAATATATGTGATATACCATACAACTATTAAAAATAAGCGTGTATATATGTAGATAAATATTTATTAATGTGGAAAGATACAGAGTGTACTAATGAATAAAGCTGTTACTAAAGAGTGTGAACACTATGGTCCTTCTTTTGTAAAACATATTTGTGTATATTCACGTGCATAGAAATAATCTGAAAGTAACAAATAATATGAATAGCTAACTTGTTGAGCACTTACTAGGCTTCAGATTTAGTGCTGGGACTTTGCATGCAATACTTCATTTAATGGACCCAGGGTATTAACAGTGGTCCTTTGGGTGATGAGAGATTATTTTTCACTTTGTTTTTCTGACTTTTTAAATAATAATCGTATGTAAGCCCCTGTGAAAAGAATTTGTTATATAAACCTTTCAGAGTTTTAACTTTCATGATTGAGTCATTTGGGGAGGCTACATGGCCCTGTAAAAACAAGATCAAAAGTCTTACATCTTGTTACAGTATGGTCTTGGACAAATAACTATCTCTCTGATTTTATGCTTTTACTATAGACTAGAACAGTTAAATACTGAGTACCTTTGGGAAAAAAAAGCCTCTTATATATAAACGGTAGTAACGGAATTGTATTTGATCTTGTTTACAACTTTCTTCCTATGGTACATGCCATCTGGAATGCGAGGAAGACCAGTGGAGATACATGCTGTCAGATCAGTTCTAGAGAATTGGTATTCAGAATCCGAAGAACACGTGAACATATAATTAGGGTGAGATGAAGTTAAAATTTGATTTAAAATATTATTCAGGAGATCTGCTAAGTTAGACTTCTTCAGAAGAAGCCTCCTAGACTACTGAGAAAGCCCCCACCATCTTTGTAGACAGTGGTTTTTGTTGTTGTTATTTTGTGGATACTAAATGCTCATAACATAAGTCCATTCTTCTCTCTAGGTCAGCTGGTGGTGTGTACCTTATGCTCCTGTGTCATGAAAACGAAGCAGATTTGGCTCTTCTCAGCTCACATGCTTCCTCTACTAGCACGACTTTGCCTTGTTCCTCTGGAGACTATCGTTATCATCAACAAATTTGCTATGATTTTTACTGGATTGGAAGTTCTATATTTTCTTGGTTCTAATCTTTTAGTACCTTATAACCTTGCTAAGTCTGCATATAGAGAATTGGTTCAGGTAAGACGGGCAACCACACACAGATAGATAAAATACTGCAAAAATATCACGTACATTAAAGGTTTAGTTCATTTTTCTTTCACAGTCATAGTCATGGTAACATCCTGTTTCATAGTTTCAAGGTAGCAAATTTTTTTTAAAATTAATTAATTAATTAATTTTTATTGTATTTCAGGTGAAGGCTTACAGAACAAATAGTATCTCATGAAACAGAAGTACACATCTTGTTTTATGGCATTGGTTAACAACCCCACAACACGTCAACCTTCTAACTTCTCAACCTTTTTTTTTGGTGAAAATACACATAGCCAAAGATACACCATTTCAAAAATTTCTACATGCATAGTTCAGTGACATTGACTATGCTCTTCCAATTGTGCTGTTATTCTCACTTAAGATGAAGGCTTATAGAACAAAATAGTTTCTCATTTAACAGTTACTACAAATGTTGTCCTATGACAAT